TTTGTTGAAGCGCTGCATCAACTTCTGATACTGGCAGCCTCTTCTGCAGATGCATCAAAAATATTTTTCTCATTTCACTTTGTTCAACTTGTTCAGTGAATTAACTAGTTCAAAGTTAAGAAACCAATTGCAGGATGGGGAATAAAGCAGTAAAGCCTTTTCTCCTCTTCCAAGCTATAAATAAAAATGGAGAGAGGATGAGCCTGTCCTAGTTCTAAAGAACTGGAAGGACACGGTGACCCCACTTTAGGTCTTTAACTACAGGCACTTGCTTTGTTTTCGGGTATCTCCTTTAACAGATTAATCCTATTTAAAATACAAAGCACATTTTCAAAAGTGTCATTTCTTAATATATCCAGCACTTTGAAGCTAGTTTCATTTAATACATCGTTTTAAAATGGTGTTTTTGTGCACTATAATTGAGTTCTTATCTCCATCCAAAGACAGCTTGACAGAAATCAGGAATAATAATTTTTAAAAAATATACTCCCCAACTCTAGTAAATAAGAAATGTATCAGTCCCCATTCCCTAACATATATAAAAAAGTAAATTTAAGATTTGGAATGATATCAAAGAAAACTGTAATTTAATCATGTCACGTGCTTTATCATTTAAATACTAACAAGCATGTTTATACATACTGCATCTTCCTAATAGGAAAAAAAGCAGTCTGAAATTAGAGCAACAAAAGGAAATCACTGTCTCTTTATGAAAATGTTTAAAAAGCTAAAGTGCAAAACAAAGTTAAAAACTGCGTATTTAAATCTACCTCTCTTAGCAAGACAATCATTTAGAGCAGAAGAGCACCCAGGTCCTGTAAAGAGACTGCAAAGCAACTGATATGTTTGATTAGAGCCAGCAGCAGGAATAAGGGTGCCAGGACCTTTCCGTATGAACTTTACCGTTTGGCCTGGAACATGCGTTCTCCGATGCCCAGCTTGGAAGTGGTGTAGAGAAGTTTCATTTCAGCCTCAGAAGCCTGGACCTCATTTAATTTATTTAACAACTCGACGCGCTAAGGGGGAAAATGATACTGTCAGTACAGCTGTATTAACAAAAAGACTCACTTCAAGCTGGACCCTTTACTCTTGTTTCAGTACAGTCAATGGGGGATCTGCTCGATAGGGGTCTCGAGGGACAGTCACCCTACTGCCATTTGCAGACAGGGCAAACCAGAGAAGTGTTGACAGTGACTCTGTGGATGGGCCGCATTAAAATTTGTATGTACAGTGAGTACAACCCCCTTTTTACACACTTTAATTGGCAAATCTTTCTCCAAATTTGGTGCAATGCAGGCATTAAAGCCTTTCATGCTGTTGCTCATCTTGTAAAAGGTCAAGCATGACACATTTTTTCAAATAAGTACCAGTTTTTCATACTACAGCATTTTACCAACATTAGCCATTGTTCATGGCTCCCTTCTAAGAATGACCCATATTTTGCAGATAGGGAAACTTGCCCTCTAAAGAGATGAAGCAATTTGCTCAGGGTCAAAGTGGAGTGGCCTGCAAAAGCCGTAGGCTTGCAGACCCACACTTAGGACATCTCATAAAGTGAGAGGTCAGACTGGCAGAAAAGAGCGGGGACTCCACCCTGACAATGTCCAAATATGCAGGCTGCACCCACCACACAGGTGGCCGTGTACCTTTTGATCTACTCTATAACGTCCTGTTAACAAAACCCAAGCTCCTCTGGCAATACTTCAAGTATATCTACACCCCGCATTGCTCAGCAGTGGCAAAATGCGGCTTCCTGCTGGCAGGGATACACGATGCACCATGTCTCCCAAGAGAAAAAAGGGGCTTCTTCTACTATGTGGCAGCCAGCAGAAGCTATGCACAGATACATCTGCACCTTCTGCGGCTACAGCTTTCCAAACGTGCTCTTTGTGCTCTGCTGGAACAGCTGCGGCAGTGGCACTGTGCAGCGTTGCCAGAAGCACATGGGTGCGCAGACCCACTGGTGGGCTGACAGTGGCAGCTGCTGTCTGCTAGTGGAAGCAGGTAAACGCAGGTGCGGCCAGTGACAGTCCAGATGTTTAAATCAGTTCACACTGCTTGGAAGCACACAAGATCGCAACGAGCAAAGCACCGCTCTTCTGCTTCCCCAACCTGGCCTAGAATGGCTTTACAAACACTTCTAAAGAGAATATCCCTCACGCTCTCCCAGGGAAATCAGAAGAGAAGCTTACTGACAGGAGCTGTCTTTAAACACCGCTTTTTTCTATTTTTTAAATCACTGCCTCAGACAACCTGGCTAGAACCCTACTACTGAGAAGCAACGTACCTGAATTTTCTTCTCTTTTTGCTCTAAAACTTTCTGCAACATTTTCTTCTGTTTCTTGCTCAGGGGCTTCTTCTTTTCTCTTGTATCCTCTGATGCTTTTTTCTTCTTTGCCTTTCTGGCTGGCAGCACCAAAGCATTGCTTTCATCCACTCCTTTGAGTAGCGTCTCATCTGCAAGCATTCGCTTGATTATTCACAGGGTCTAGATGGTTTATTCTTAACCTATTGCTTAAGCTGTTTTGCAAAATTCAAAGTTTTCAAGATATTTTAGCTTGATTTCAATTTAAAGGACATTACTGGCTACAGCAACGGAAAGGAATGGGTGCTCTCCTCACTGCTGTTGTAAAAAGAGAACCAAGTCTTTCCTTGTTTGGACTGATAACATGAGAGAAACATAGCCCTTTTTGCAAACACTGAACCACACAAACCTCACCTGCTAAGTGAAAACTACCTGTTTTTAATAAGTGAGCAAAATGACACAAAGACTTGGTGACTTGTCCACGGCATACAGCAGGTTAGCGACAGTTGGGTCTTCGCCACATAGCTCAATAATAACTTTAATCTAAGCATTCAGATACACTTCATTATTGCTGAAAGGTTGAGAGCCTTAGATGTAGCAACAGGCCTGCATTTGATACCGGGGCAGGTGCAATATGAGTAAACACAGTACAAGCTGCCTATGACAATACAATTTAAAAAAAAAAAACTGGTGACAGAAAGTGGTGGTGGTTCAACTTGAGGCCTGCCTACTCCTTGGTTTTGCTACGAACAGCTGCAAGAGAGACCGTCAGCGATCTGTTTTCAGTCTAAGCGCTTCTAGTGCTTTGCTTTTAGAACAGGCTGTGACCTGTGCCCAGAACAAGCAGCTTGCCAGGGTTTGCGATGCTCCCACCAGACAAGAGCCCAGACAAACAAATCAAATCCCTGCCGTGTCCCAGAACCGGGCCATTCTGGCATTGGCGTTGTGACAAACAAGTCATTTCTCTCAAAAGCTGCAGTGGCAGCTGGGTCAAGTACCATTTCAACCTGCTGCCTCTGTAACCCACTTCCATCCTCTGGAGAATGCGAAAAAAAACCCTAAACTTGAGTTTTGCTTTTTTACAGACAAGCCTCCCGTGACCATACACATTCTGCTCACAAACTAGACCCCTTCATTCAGGGGGTCTCAATCTTTTCAGCCTCCAGGCACCTCCAGACAGACTCGAGGTGGCTCTCAGAAAACTCAAAGCAGCCTCAGAAGATCCTGGAAATTACGAAGAAGCAGGGCTAGGAGGAGAGGTCATCAGGTCCAAGCCCCTGCCTGAGGCAGGATCATCCAGACCCAAACCAAAATGCTAGCTCTTAAGTTTCCACTTGTTTGTTGACTACGGAAACATACTCCATCAGAAAAAACAAGGGAAAACCAGAAGGGCAAAAAACTTTAGACCCAGCGACTGATCCCCTAGCCAAAACCTCTGAGTTTATCTTGAGCGTTATGTTGGCACTGCATGTGTATGCCCAGTGCGCGTGTGCACGTGGCTATGTGTACGGTGGGGGGGGTGCTAGGACGACGTCCCTTAGGGCAAAAGGGGCAGCGGGTCCCCGAGCTCCCCGGAGTGCAGCCGTACTCACCTCCCA